GGCTTCTTGGTTTTCGCGGCTTTGCGGCTTGTAGACTTGTCGGCTTGCTCGCTGCTCGGCTTCTGGGTTTTCTGGCTTCTCCAGCTTCTTGGCTTCTTGGCTTTCTTCCTGGCTGGCGTCTCCCCCACCCCCGCTGTTGTAAAGCCATTCACCACCATGTTCGCACTAGGGGAAGGCTGTGAGGATCATTTTGTTTGCAAATGGGGGTGGTGCCCCTCCCCAACCCTCCCATTTTTCAAAGCCATCCATACTTACGGTAAAAGACATGTCATCACTATGGGGCTGCAACCCCTCAACCCACCTGCTTGTTTAAGGATGGGGGGCTGCGACCCCCCAACCCAACCGCTTGTTAAAAGCAATTCAGGCTTCTACAAGTAGCAGCTAATTAGCAAAAAACATGTCATTGCCATGTTTGTCGCAAGGGAGGGTAAGGGAGGCCTATGCGGATCACACAGTTGGTTCCATAAGAAGCCAATTAAAAAAAAAGAACTCAAGAATGATCCTTTAACAAAAAACCTCTTCCTTATGATGACACGCAACAACCGTTGCACAAAAAGTTTGACACAAAGGAGGGCTTCGGGACTTGATGCTTGCAGCTGTTATGCTCGCCTTGTGCGTCACCAAGCAAACACTTTCAGCGCTCGCGTCCTGTAGAAGCTTCCTGGGCTGCAGCATTCTTGAAATGCTTTGCGCGACGAAGGCATGCAGGATCAAGATTGGTGTGGATTACATATTCCGATTGGTGTGAATTTCGTTTCCTTTGACAATCTCATCGGCGAACTCGGCCTGATCATTTCCTACCACTAAATCCACCAAGATTTACCTCCCCGGCCCTTATAACCCTTTCCCTCTGCCCAACGATTCGCAGCCAAGGCGCCCGAGTCCGGCAGTGCGCTTGCGCAACATGGGCCTCACTGAGGTAGGGGCATTCGGGTTCAATACAGCTTGCTTCAGTAAAGCTGACAAGTTGAGGGCATCCTGACAAGATGCCTTTGTTTGCGGCCAAGCTGCTTTTCCTCCACCAGGGGCCAGGTCTTGTACCTCCGAAAGGGTGCGTTCACCTTCGCAGCGCTCTGGTCTTAGAGGCAGGGGCTGCTGAGCACTCCGTTGCGAGAACTGGCTGGACACTGCAGACTGCAGATCACAGAGCTCAGGCACTCATGAATGAAGACAAGGACGGAAACAGTGACGTTTGGCAGGAGTTAGTCCAGGGTCTGAGCGGAAACGAGATGATTCGTCGCAATGATAACCAAGTTTATGGATTCAATCCCGCCGCATCTTTGTGAACTTATGCCTCGTCGCTCTCGAAGTCAAAGAAGTCCGACACCTCCTGGTCATCATCAAAGCTCCTCGTGGTGGAGAACTTCTTGCAGCACTGGGCACAAGGTTCCACTGCATTCGGGGCGCCACATTGCTGCGCGCTATAGCAGAGAAACGTTATGTGATAGAAACAAGGCACATGTTAAGTTATGCCGGGATGTTTTGCTTCTTAGTCCACTTCTGTGTGGTACCAACTCAATGATTCAACGACGCGACCAGTCCATCCACACATCTCACAGCAGGAGCTCCCAAATTAAGGGAAAGTACTGCGAAGTGCTTTGCAACAATGGTTAATGGCCTTGAGAGCGAGGCATTCATACCATCTGATGGAGCCAAGGCACATGTAGCTGAAGGTATTCCGTGCCTCCCAGCCCTCACTCCTGGCATATGTTATGAGCGCGAGGATTCCTGGCTCAGTGAGTGTCGGCCTTCCTCTGTCCACATTCTCTCTCTTCAAGCTTTCGCTTCTCATGCGCTCTGCAAACGACTTAGGCTTCAACATGCAGGATGTGTCGAATCCAAAGCTGAAGACCTAATCTTGAACCTTATTCTGGATGCCTACGCCCCGCCGGCACCTCTCATCGCAGGGAAAACCGGTGCATCGCTCGCGAAGGAGGTTTCGGACATGGACGCGGCTGTGATGTGGGAACCTTTGTCCCAACAGCAACTTCTGGATGCCTGTCACTTTACCAACGTAAATTACTAACGTTAATGCAGTTGTACTTCTCATTTGTCGCTTCGTCTTCGGCTGTAGAAGACCCTGTGCATGTGGAAGGCCGAAGTGCATTACTGCTGCCGTCTGCAGAGCGCGCTGCAGGGGCGACACGAAGACAGCTTCCGGCGGCTTTAAATCGGCATCGTCCAGCAGCAGCCTCATGATCGTCGCCGCCTTATTTTCTTAGAGCACTTAAGCTCTCATCTGATCTAACAGAATCTAACAGCTTCCACAATTGCAGCTCACGTGGAGCATCTTCGTCCCAGGCGCTGTGGCCACGGCCTGTTCCTTGCCCTTTGCGGACAGCCTCAAAGTCATGTGAAGTTCAGATCTAGAACAAATTCCAACAGGATGCGATCGGCGGTGTATCACGCAGGTGGACGACGGCTGCCACAGATTCCATTGCAGGCTGATGACCGTTTATGCTTCTTTCAGCTTGGAAAGCATGATTTCATGAGCGGTACTGGCATGCCATTGAGAGCAAGGGACGGAGCATCTTTCAAACCTTCATCACTCAATGCGGACTTGCGTGCAATCCTTGGCGCACAGGCACCGGTTATGATCCTGGTTCTGCACTGCCATTATCATACCCTTCCAGCATCATCGCCGCTTTCAGGCACGAAATGCACGCAAGCACACGGCCATAACCATACGTTGACACTAGCCACACAAAAAAAAAAAAAAAAACTTGCAACTGTCATACTTCTCAGAGGCGAACAGAGCAAAATGCTCTGTATTGCTGTACATAACTTCCCTTTGCTGTTGTACTATCCAGCGACTCCAAGGTCTCTCGATGCAGGATCTCATCATTGATCTTGCCGTGTTCAGCGAGTGCCTGTTGCCTCGGTGTGCGCTTCCAGCTGGGCCACTAAAACTCAAGCCCAGCCCATTTCCAGATCCCGTCTTTGAACAGATCAAGTTAGATGATGTTAGATGCAGCGAATCTGGGGTGGCGCGGCTCTAGGCAAAAGGAGTTTGTTCCGTGCAGGGTGGCCATGTGCCGGGATTGACATGAGCATGCTTGGCTTGAACACATACAACCGCAGCGCAGATGAAAAGGATCGAACACGCGGCAACGACCGCGCATGGATGAATGACTGAGAGAACAGATTTGGACTTCGATTGATTAAGCCCCCAGAGCCCACCAGACAGGCAAGATGCAAAGCAGACTTTTCTGCCACATTGTGCAAAGCCTCACCAGGGCAAGGGTCTTCCCACTTGCATTAAACCCGAGATTCCCAATGTGTGTCATCGTTTCAACTTCCCTTGCTATCCTAAAGCCTCTACAAGGCTGGTGGGGCAGCCTCAAGCTTTAGCATGCTTCAGCATCGCGCAGAAAGTAGCCCCCATATTTGATGCTGCTCCCATGTTCCCCAAGCCCTGCCTCACCGTGACGGACCAGGAAGACCTGGCTTTACCAGAGGGAAGCAGTCTAACGAACACGTCCTGCTAAGACGCTCCACGAACCAGTCCCCTCTACTTGGACTTGATGCAGGCTATCTTGCCACACCTGCGTCTGCCTACCAAAGCTAATCTGAAGCGTGAATAAGCCCACCTTTTCTACCTCCCGCCTACACCTCAAGACTTGCCAGGTTGCTGTCTTCAACTGCGGCTCGTTTGACAGACTGCCTGGTGAAGAGGTCCATGGGCTGTCCGGGATGTCGAAAGGGCTGTCGTCATCGGTGGAGGATATGCCTGGACTGCGCGTGCTAAAGAGACAGCACCGCTCCAAGATGCTCCAAGCATTAGCACATGAAAGAGGGGCGCTACACAAGGCAAGGCACTAAAAGACAAACGACAAGGCTTCTCGTCCGGCATCCTTGACTCGCATTGCAGGCGAATCGGACTCGAGCCCTAAAAAGGCCGCTGCGAGCGAGCAACAAGTGAGCAACAAACTACACGGCTGAGAACTCTGTAGTAAGCAGATGTCCTGATAAGCACGCTTTCTTCAGGCAGCGACTGAACGAGCAAGCACATGTCAGCAAACTATGACAGATATGAAGCCTGAAGCTGCCAAAACAGTCCACTCGAATTTCTGAGTGGAGTCTTGAAAATGCTTTTTGCTTGTCTTGCAAGAGCAAATAGGAACTAAAGAAGGCCAGCGGCATTACCCTCAAGTGCTCCCAAGCACAAGGTCTTTGGGCGCCCAAGCCCGCGTCGCCGGGAAGGTGGCGAAGGCCATCGGGACAGCCTCCGGGGCTTTCCGCGCAACTGCTTCAACAAGCACCTTCTGGAGATCTCTCTCCTTGCGTTTGCATGGACAAACAGGATGAGTTTGTGATCATGATCTATACTCTGGAGACGCTGAACGCTTTAGGACCAAGATGGACCAAGTGTAAAATTAGGTCGTCTGCTGCTCCTCATCAGCCTTTGGGAACTGAGGCTCCTGCGGACCGAAACCCTCTCTTTGCGATTCGTACAGTACATAGCCCGTATTCCATCACATGCCGAATTCAGTAGCAGGCATGAACATGTGAACCGTAAAGGTCCTTCCCTTCCCGAAGCAATGCTCCCTTGACACAACCGCGGCATCTGCTGCTTCTATGCTCTCGGACAAGTGCTTGACTTACTGCCATTTTGAGCTAACGTTGCAATCATGGTTCGATGATCTTGTGAGGATAGGAGCAATTGCGCAGGCCTCTTGAACGGAAGCTTGGGATCATGGTTCCAAACTCCGAGGCCCTGGCTGCGTCCATTCTGAGACTGTACCAGGTTGCCCTTCTCCAAGAACACAAACCAGAAACTCGAGCCAAACCACGACACATAGGTGGCAAGGTCTGCTTTGCACTGCAGCACATGGGCTGAAAGCACTCCTAGCTGCGCGTTGAATCGAAGGAGACTGTGCAGAAACCTTGCTTCTGACACATTCACTCTCCTCCGACGAAGTTACTCACATAGCTCAAGCATCTTGAATCATGCCTCACCATCAGCACTTTTCCAGGCTTGTGAGACTCATCCAGTGCATCTATCCACGAAAAAATGGCCCCGATTTTGGAGGCCCTGGCTGCAGCTGTTGTCGCTGCTGCGGCTGCTGCGGCTGCTGCTGGTGAGAGGCCAGTGGAGGAAAGATTGGGAGACTTGTCTGGACGCCTTGCCTTATGCTTTCTGATAGAAACTCGCGGGGTTGGGGTCCGCGGTCCAGTGACCTGGCGATCAAGGCTGCATCTGCTGCAGGCAAAGATGGGGTGGACTTGGGTGTGGTGCCAGGTGCGGATACGGCGGATGCTCCAGGACTAGGCAGGCTGTGCGCAGAGTGCGGCGCGCTGCCGAATGCGAAGCCTACCCGCCAGGGCCTGCCTTCTGTAAGCGAGGCACGAGACTCTGGTCTCACGTGAGCTATGTCTGTGTAGCCCGGAGGCAGGTTGTGAGCAGGCGCAGAGGTCTCTGCAGTCGTAGCTTCCGATGGCGGTGGGACCTTCTCCATCATGCACAAGACCTTTGCAGATCATCGCCGAGGCCCGACATATCCCCAATGCTCTTAGGCCAGCACCACCGCGAGCATGCATAGCAAGGCCAGCAAGCCCTCAGCTCAAACAAGGCTCGCAGCTTCTCGCGTATGAGTTGCCACTGATACAGCTACTTCTGCCAGGTGCAAGACATCCGTGCCAGGACGCGCGCCTAGGTAATGGAATACTTCGAGGTTTCGAGGGGTTGAGGTGGTGTTCAGCTGGGATATGCTTGCGCAGCTCTTAGCAGCTCTGAGGTTCTGAAAGCTCTTGGTGGTTGGCTAATCGCCAAAGTGTCGGCGTGGGGCCCACCAGCCAAGCCTCGGAAACTGAAACTTGGACTTCCCATTTAGCTCCTGGTGCCCTCGAGAAGCCTACTGAGTGCTTGGCCTGGTTGCTTCTACTTTACCAAAGGATTACTTGACAACGAACCCAGAGAGCCTGGCTTATGCGCGTTGCGGTTGCCAACTGCCGCCCATCTGGAGCATATGCCGAGAAGCCAAGGAACCTCTGCTTGCATTTGCAAATGCTCGGGATGTAAGGGTGACCGTTCCAACTTATTACTTTCTATGGTTGCAGTAACACTGAAATGCCAAAAGTCATGGCATGCGAACAAGCTTGTGAGTTGACGTGCCACGGCCAAAGCCACAGATGGTGGCGAGATTAGATTGGCCATTAGATTGTCTTGATCAACTTCCTGCACCAGGCTGACTTCTACGAGGCTGGCCAGCCCTCAACTCCAGGAGGCTTTGACCAGGGCTCCTGGCGCTGTTGAAGTCCGCATGGTCATGACCAGCTGCTCAGACCTCAAAAACTGTTTTATCTTTTCATCTGCCCGGGAAAGGAGGAAGCGGACCGTGAATTCATTGCAGTGAAACCGAAAATGCATCCGAACTGGATGGATCTTCTGTTGACAGGGATTCTGCTGATTTCAGTGGGGTCGACAACGCTGGGCTTGGCTGGGCGTGGCTGGCATGGCTGCTGGAATGCTCCGTAGGATGGCAGCCAAAGTTGCAGCCTGCTCAGGTGGGGTTAGGCTGTTGCTGTATGAGCATGCAAGTACTGGAAGCTTTCTAGCATGGGAGGATGCGGGGAAGTGCTTGAAAAGGGTTAGAACGCGACTCCACTGCAACTCCCCCACAAAGCCAGCCATGAAGAAAACCCATGTCGCCATTTCAAGCTTGTGTAGCCTGAAAGCAAGAAGCCATTGACCTGACCCAAAAGCGCGCATTTTGGCAGCATGCTCCTCTAAGATGGCAACAATCTCGGAGTCGGGGGGGGGCCGGCTGGCACAGATAGCGCAACATCCTACATACATGACCTGTTATCAAATGATATGATGTGAGGTGTCCATCCTGACTTGACATGACCACATCTCCACATGACCATAAGCAACATGTCCACAACTACAAGCAAGCAGTGACTGTAAACCCTGGCTCGACACTCATCCGTTGTCCTCTTCCACTGCTTAAAATGTGATCAACAATTCTTTGGAACCAAAGGCTGTCACTCTGTACATGCAGGTATGTGAAGAAGGCGTCCCCTCTTCATATCACTGTGCATTGGGAGCGTCTTCGTTGGCAGGAGACTCTCAATCACACTCCTGCCCCCTGCGTTCTGCTGAAAAACATGCATGTGTCCACATCATCGTTTCATGCCTGATCGTCGCATATCGTAGCATATACCAAGAACCCTTAGCTTAGAATCAGGGTGCACGCACACACACACACACACTCACACACTCCTAGACAAGTCCCCGGATCTGCCCCAACCTGGACGGAAGGTTGTACGGCCTTCGAGCCCTTGCCTATGCGATCTGTGCATCTCAGGTCGCGATGAGCTGCTAAAGGTTGAATTGCAAAATTGAACAGCAAGTGCAGTAGTAAGGCATTTCACCAGACGCGGCCATTCTATGCCATTCTATCCTTATGCGAACCCAAGAGAAACCACCTCAACATGCTGTATGGCGGGATCCAAGAAGTGTGCGACAAGCCAGCTCTGCCACTAAAGCTTTGTGGCCATGCACATGCCAAAAAAGCACCGACTGTGCACAAACCTCTGGGTGCTGCACCCCTCGCTGTGATGATGCACTTGCCTCAGAGCTGCTCAAATACTTCATCCATCATGCGCTTGGCAGCAGAGGGAGTGGCCATTTGTCGTTCGAGCGCGTCATGGAGCCATACCTCAGTTGGCATCCGTGACTTGTGGGCAAAACAGCAGTGCACCTAGAACTTCTCGAACCGCGTCCCTTCAGCAGCGGTAGGGATTTGCAGGCCGCGACTTTCGCAGCAAATTCAGCGCCACAAGTCGAACTGGAGCCATGTCCGCACGGATGCCGCCCAACATCTTGAGGCTGCTGCTTCTGATTCTGTGGCCCAAAAATCTCGGTCGGCGCTCGCTGTACAACGGCCTCACTGCATGAGCTGGCGCAGAGCAACCATTCAGGGATCGTACCGGTCATGCCCATACATACCACAATCACGGTTTCGCAGATGAGTGTGTCCTTGCGCGGTGTCTCCTCCCAAACCCCTGCTAGGTACTATGTCTGCATGGTACCCGTCTCAGGGGCATACTGGACGCGTTTTTTTCCGCCGAGCTTCAGGCCAGCTAATGGGTGAGTACCCTTGCATACAGTAGGTCGAATCTAAGGCTTCTACTACAGTATTCAAGTTCTACATGGAGTAAGCGTTTTCTGTTAAAGTTTCCTTAGATTACTTCTGCGTTCAAGGCTTTGACTTTGGGAAACCTGTGGGGCTTCTTAAGTTACCCTTTGTGGCCTCTGCGTTTTCATGTTCAATGAGCTTTGTGAGCGGTCTTGAGTCAAAAGAGCACAAGGCCCAAGGACCACTCCCCTACACCCCCTTGAGCAGCGGGGCGCGCTGCTGTGATTCTTGTGTCAAGTCTGTTGGTCGAGCATGTCAGGCCCTTTTACGCCTGTTGGCAGGGTCCATCTGAACAAAACGAAAGAATAACCCCGGTATCTGCCTGTGCCTTTGCTTTTGTCTTCCAAGGGCTGCGGAGCCAAGGCCGATGCCCCAAGGTGAAGAAGGCCAATGCCTCAGTTTTGACTGAAGACCGGTGATGTTTAGTGATGTTTGGCTGGGGCAGGGAGCAGGTTTGGACTGCCTACGCCTGGAAACCACGAGGGTGAGCAACTGACCTTCGTGCCCTTGAGACACCTGCAAATAGCAAAGCCCCCAACTAAGCTCCGCGCTGGCATGTGGGTGCCTTGTCGCGGGAGTGGTTGTGAGCCTGTGGATTTCAAGCCACGCGTGAGTCGGCAGGGATGGAATTCCCCCAAAATTCCAAGGAAACTTACACCTTTCTCTGTTGCAGCAGCGCGTGTCCCTGCAAGCAAATGCCGAGCCAAGCGCTGCAGAAGGTGTCCAATCTGGCGGCTCAGGCTCACTCTTTCAACTGCTCGCCTTTGTGAAACGGCAACCATCCCTTCAAGCAAAATGAGCTAACCAACAAATATGATCAAACAGGCTCGTGTTAGCACATTCTTTCTGATGCGGTTCAACAGACTGACGATCTACAGACTGTGTCGTCTTACATCTCTAAAGGGCCTCACGTCCTTGCAAGTTCTCTTTGAGCAGACAGCTGGAAGCCGATCTGGTCTCCTCTATACTTGCAGCCGTTGCCTGTGATTGGCCATGGCCCTGTACTGTGCCACGCGGGGCCTTCGTGCCTTGGAAGTGCAGGCTGAGACTGGAGACGTCGCAAGCAAGCGTGAGACTAGAAACATCTGTTCCCCATTTACCAGCGTCAAAGCTGAAACAGGTGCATGTGCCCTCAAACTGCCCTGAAAACAGCGCCTTACATGGCCCTTTTGCATGCAGCATCCACAGCAATAAGATGGCCACAGAGCGGAAGCCATGCATGCAAAAGAGGTCCTTGGCTGCAAACATGGAACATGGACACGGAACTCGAGCTTGGAGGCCAAAGAACACCCAGCTTTGAAAGGCATTAGGACTGAGGCATTGTTCAACGGAGTCAGTCAGCCTCTCTTTTGTCTGCAGCATTAGGGCTCAGATCACTTGGAGCCCTGCGGCCACTGATGCCAAGAATGGGCACCGGAAAGGTTCCTGCTCGCAGCCTCCACGATCTTATCTTCACAAGCTGCACAGGGGTGGGATAGCATTTTGCTCCAAAGCTTTCTGCTCTTGTTTTTGACCTCTCTTTCGTGTCTCAGCCTACAGCATCTGAAACCGAACGAAGCTTGTAAGAGCTACGAATTATTGGCCCATCAGAAAACAATGACTACATGATGTTGTGACACCTCCCGCACGATGACCACAACTTGACCACAACGTTCCGTATGAAAATGTTTCGTAAACGGAAAACGGAAAACTGGCACAGAAGCAACGGTAAATAGTGGCGCGAAATTGGTTTTTGTGTACAAACCCTAAGGTTAGAACTTGGAACAACAGAGAGACGCGAGAAGAATAGCGATAGTCGTCTCATACCCTACCAGTGCCACAAGCAGTGATGACAAGTGGGGTAGCTAGCTGGCCATGACTACTCTGAAGGCCACACACGGATCTGACGCAGACCTTTGCTGCAATGCTGGTGCCGTATGTAATCAATTGGAGATCTGCGCCATTCACTCGAAGAATCTTTGTAATGCAGCGGACACTGGCTAGCTGCTAGGAACTGTGAGCAGATGTCAGGAGAAGACTGGAAGCAGATGGCCTATCGAGCGCCTCCAGAGGTATCCTGAACCTGAGTTTGCAACTTCCATGTTTCTGAGCTTGCCGGATCACACTCCTCAGTCCAGCTGTCATAAGCACTGTAAAACTTGTAGAAGTTCCGAGAAGGAGCATACACGGAACAAGTCTTCTCACAGCTGTCAGCACGTGCGCCTTCTCAGCCTTTCCTGCTTTCACGAGCCCAGCGTGTGAAACCCTGCCCACTTTTGAGAGTGTTCTGTTCCCCGAAGCCTTTGCATAGCGATATAGCACCAGTGATTATGAGCTTGCGACATCCAACCAAAGACTGCAAAAATTCACCTGAGGATATCGGCTCGACATCACCATGCGGCAGGATCAGCCTCTCACCTCAGCCGTGTGGAAGGTAGTTTTGACTTGAACTGCATCATTAAAGATCTGGTTAAGCAGGGAGGGCTTGAGGCTTCGGAGCAGAACAACTGCAAACAGGGTCGAAGAAAAGCAGAAGATGGTGCATGCAGGCACAAATCAACTCTCTGGCCTTCATTCCTACCTCCTCTCCCAGCTTTTCTTAAGAGAGCTGCAAAACTGTTTTCGATGCGTTCTATTACTATGTCAAGTAGGTAAATTAGCCAAACTGCTGAGCTTGAAGCCCCTGCCCCTACCCCCAGCCAGCCCATGGTGAGCTGCGACTCAGGCAGATTGGAGGCGCTGGAGTGGCCCTTGGGACAGCCTCGCCGCCAAACCTTAATTGCAGCTGGCTCCCAGACTCCTTCTCATCAAGACTTTGCTCTGGCAACCGTTGAATTGAGCGTAGCCGATGTACAATGCACAGACAACCATGAACAGCGTATGCTGGTGCCTTGACCCGGCGCCGATGATGCAAGGCAATCATGTGAAACCAAATGCTGTAACACCTCCTGCGCAGCTCCTTCACGTTGCCCTATAACTTACAACCGTATAAGTGTATAATTGCTGACACTGACACGTCTGCAAATACCTCTCCGGTCTTGGTGCAGCGAGATGAGATCTGCTCATGTTTCCAAAATGCGTACCAAGGCGCCGGGGCAACGCGTTTGGTTCCGGGTCTGCCTGCTGAAAGGGAGACCCGGGGTGATAACCCCTTCATTACAATCCGTAAGGGCATTTGAGGAGTGCGTCAAGAGGCTTTGGAACAGGGTCACCGGCACTCAACCAAACCACACAGACACTTTTGGGTTGAAGAGGGTTCGTGGCTTAGGGTTCCCGTCAGGTAGTTTACAGCTTAGCTAGATGCATCAGAATACAACTAGCAGACGTTCTCTTCTCCAGGATCTTCTCGAACTACCAGAAAGCCTGGACCCTCGTTTTGATTCCTAGACTCTGGCGTGGGATTCTGGATGTGGTGAAATAGCTTTCAAAATTAAGGCCCCCATCAGATATGTCCAATCGCGGTGATTCTTACGTCGTCTTCTTTGATGCATGCCATGGATGCAGTCAAAGTTCTAGCTCTGCTCTATAATGTAACGCATATACCATGTATTGCGTACAAATACGATTTTGAAGAGGACATGCTTGTCTGTTCGTCTGACCTAGAGCCTTTTCAAACCTCTCAGGCCTCAGGATTCTAGAGGTAGAATTTCAAGCTTTTTTCAACATCAGAACCCTCTGATACACCCACAAGTTTGAGAAACCTCCATCTCAGTGGATATTGCCTAGAGGCCATGTGGTGGGCCTCTATTGTAGTGCTTCCTCAAGTTCCTAATGCAGTTGTCATTCTTCCAATCGCAAATGCCAACGTTGTCAGGGTCCCGCCGCAGCAACTTATCCATCAAATTCTTTTGTCCCTACTCCCAGGCCCCTTTGCCTCGAATCGTCCGCTTTTCGAGGGGACGCGCGGATCCTCCAAGTTCATGGTGCCCGGAGGCTGCTGGAGCTGTGAGAGCTGCAAAGAGCCCGGCCCTTCTTTGGGGAAGAGTTACGCGTGTACCAAGAGTTCCCCCCAGAGTTACACCAGGACCTGAACATCCCCACAACGACCCACACCGTCTCCTCGGGGCCTGCGCCGGCCGCCAGATGGCGCCTGAAACTTCTTCCAAGGCGGGGGGAGGACACACAGCTGCGCCGCTGCGCCGCTGCGCCGCACCAAGCGGCATACAGTCATACAGTCTGACTTCCCTCTCCACGAAGCCTTCCCACCCCGAATTCCGAGAATCGGACGTCGCCAATTTCGTCGCCTGGTTGGCCTTCAAAATGACACAATAAAATCCAAAGATGTCAGCAGAGAGATGCAAAGCACTTGGCAAATGGTCTCTGGCTACTCCCCCCGCTATTGCTCTTCCATCCTCCAATTCACATCGGGTGGCCTCCAGCATCAGAGTCCACAGCACAACCTCTGTGACGTTCCTATGCTCTGAAGCAGCTGTGAAGCGGCTGGAGCGTAGAACCGAGGCCCAGGCCACGAAAATTAGTGTCACCACGAAAGAGAGACTGAGGACGCAGGCACCGGGCCTGTGCAGCTTTTGCCACTCCAACAACCCGAGTCTGCATAAGCCTTTCTTGCGACGGAGGTTGGAGGGGCTGACCGGAGATCTTGAAAATACTTTTTGCAACTTTCTGCTTGAATAACACCTATTTGGCATAAGGCTTGGCAGGGACCGCCGACCCATGCGAGCGTGCCCAACAGCCCATGACTGACTGTGCAGCTGCAAGGCCTCGGCAGAAATTCCCTGCACCCCTAAATGCGGTGGAGCAGAAACTCCATGAACGCCGAGCATGCCATCACGGACATCTTGAATGTCGCATGGCACCTGGTGTGCCTGCACTTTGTGCAGACATGCCAAACCCCAGCGAAAACTGGTTCAAAGGCTGAGCTGGTCCTCGCTGACCTGTTCGAAACTGGCAAGCGTAGTAATTCTATCAGCAACAAGCTAAGCCCAGTGAGCACATGTCATGAACAAACGTCAGCGAGGGCAGCGACCTAAACCCTCAGATGGGGTGTTTTAATTAAGGCAAGGAGCAGGTTTGGGATGCATGCAGAACCCAAATTTGCAAGTTTAAGTCAATCAAATGTAGGCTCAGGTGGGCATCAGATGTTCCCATGAAAAAGAATCGACATTTGGTGCAAATGATGTTGTTACTTCGTGCTGCCTTGCTTAAATGATGGACTCAGAAACTCAGGACCGCAGATGGTCGAGCCTCGGCTTTGGCGCGCACTGAAAGATGACCAGAAGTCATTACTCAAATTCCAACAATGTTATCAACATCATCTTCAGGCTGCAGGTCACATGTATGCACCATGGCCCTCTGCAGTTGAATGCGAGGAATTATGCCATCCCCTAAAGACCCTCTGACTTCCTGATGCATCTGCATTCCGACCGGGCACCTTCAAGCGCCACGGCTCCTGGAAAGGAAGCCCTTCGAGGTGCTGTTCCTTGCAATGGAGCGGATCATGCAGTTCAGGTATGTCTTGAATTGCCAACAAGCACCCAAAGCCCTGCCATATGCAGAACCTCCGGGTCTGGGAACTCCCTCAACACTCCTCCTCAAGACTTACCAGATTTCCCAGGTGCTGCCATGAGTCGTGTGCTGTACATTGAGATCTGTCACCTCAGGGCGTTAGCCGCTTCCATGGTTTGTCTGCGTCTGCATTTCTGTAGCGCATGCATGGCAGTTTATGTTAGGGACATACAGTCTTAGACTCGTGATCCACAAGACATGCCACCTGCCTAGTAAACCCATTTCAGTATTCACATCCCTTCCTGCAGACCGAGTAGACGCTACAAGTTACACCTGGAAAACATAACTTCCTGACCTGGCCTCGAGGAAGTTTTCTGGCTTCTCGTGCGCATGCTTGGCTACAGCGAAGCCCAGGCGTCGCTTCCTGACCAGCTCCAACATCGGCACCAGCCATCTACTTCTGATCTCTTCTTGTTTCCAGGCGGCTTCCGGTCGAAGACTGTGTAATACCTCAGTTGACTTTGATAGCGGACGGCTGTGGGCTGTTCGAAAGCTTGCACGGAATGGTTCTCATTGCGCATCTAGACACTTCTCCAAGAACGGGACGCCGAGCACAAACAGAGGGCCTGCGCGGCAAAATCTTAGCAACTGAACAGCTTGGAATGCCACTAACTGAAAAACGTTCCAAGCGACCGTTTGGCGGAGGGATGTCCAGCGGCATGAATGCCAGACTGCATGGCCTTTAGCAGGACTTTTTTCGCTCTGCGGGAGGTATAGGGTGAAGGGCTTTCGGCTGTGGGTGTGGACTGTCAAAGAGGCATAACTTGTCGACCACAGGTCTGATACTGTAGCCTCTGGCAAGCCTCTGACCAAAAAAAAAAATCTGACACCTTCAGCACATCCCCACCAAGCTATCCACGACAAGAAGCTGCTCGTGGGTATAATGCTCCGCAGAGAGAGACAGCAACTTGGTCCTTCCTCCGTGCTCCTGCATGGTTTGCTACCACATGTCTCCACATATGATGCACAAGCCAAACTCACGACTCCTTGATCGCAAAGCCGAGCTTTGGAAGCCTTCAAATGACAGATGGGCTTGTGGAGCTCTCGTTTTGTTTTTCACCACTCCACTTTCGTCATCCAAGAGGCTTGGATCTCTGCTGGCAGTTTCTGATCGCCAGCCTGAAGCTGTGAGGGAAACCATCGCACCATTGCGCACTACTTGTTCTTACCTAGGCTTCCTTGCAGAAAGTTGTGGAAAAAGCTTCGGGAAGGGCCATCTGGGCTACCCCTTAGACCGGAGCAAATGGGCAAGCCTAGGTTCCAGCGCGTGTCTAAGCTTGATGGCTGCCTACCGGTCGTAACGTCGGAGGTGTCACTTTTCAGGCGTTCCCGTTGCTTTACAGGGTTTTGGATTATTTTGCGTTTCCATGTGCAAGCTTACATAACATCCGTTACGCAAGATTTGAGGACTGCCAGGTCGGTTCATGTTATTCTCGCTCCAACCTTAAACGAGCAGCTGAAGTCATGCACACCTGGCACATTAACTGATCTTCCTTAACCATCAACTGTCACTCACGGATGGTAACGACGCCGACATCCCGTAGAAACGAAGTTAGGACCCGAAGCAAAGCACATCTTACTGACCCCTAAACTTCAGGCATGGGGCTTGTCAGATAGATGGTCAATGACATGTTGTGGCCCCGCGATTTCGGAGGAACCCGTGTCGATGGCGACATGACAGCCTCCGGCTTTGAATTTCTGTTTCTTTCTTTCGTTCGGGCGTTGAAGAGAGCTCGCGGGCACCCTCTTCGGGGACTTACCCCTGCCCTTGTTGGGCTTTGCCTGACTGGTGCACCTTCATGGACGCTGCCTGCAAAATACCCTTAACAAAACGCGTTCACGGGGGCTTACCTTGCAGCTCTAGGGTGGGGTACACCCTTTGTTCACATCCTCAGGAGGTCCATGAGTTTGCACTTTGTGTATGCAGAGGGTACCACCCTGGTGCCTTATCCTCAAATCGGTGGACCGCAAGATCCGGGTATTACTTTAGCCTGCATGCCTCCCTCATATGCACACTGGTTGTTTGAAACTGCATATGAGTTGGCATTTGCCTACCCTTGATTGGAGTGCGAGGATTGTGCATTTAGGCGCTGATGACAAAAGGATCATTGCAGATGAAGATAGCTGCCTAAATAGTACTTGTTGCCTCCACTCCACTTGCAGTGCTGTGTAACACTTGACACTAGCCGGTTGACTTTCTCTCTCCCTCACTCCCTCTCCCACGGTCTTCCCGTGTTCCCTGCCCCGCTCTCTTGGCACTTACCATCAAGAAGCGTGCCAGGCTACAATCGTGGCTTTGCACGCGGCCTTTGCAGATACTCTGAGGTTCATCATCGAGGTAGATATCCTGGAAGCACGGGGCAAAAAGCGCTGAGATTTCAGCAAAGGGATAGTCACGCAATGCGGCAGGTTCTGTTGCAAGGTAAGACTAACGCTTGCGCAGCCTCCCGTCCACAATCCCATTTGTGGACACATCAGTCACTCTCCCTGGATTTCCCCCCCCTCCTAGCCCCACGCGATCCTGGATCTCCACCTGCCAGTAGCCAGCCTTGCCGCTGACCTTGAACCAGAACATCTTGGAGCCAAGCTTTTCCTGAGAAAGAGCACAAAGATGTTCTCACTCATCATTGATGAGCGGCGTTGGTCCGACTAACATAGAAGTGCTTATGATCAGATTCCTCGTTACAAGTGGACCACGCTACCCTGCTCAAACGCGCAACCTTCATGAACCCAAGCTCTGAGGCTGTATCAGAGCATGTCTTGGGACCAATGACAGGCAAACCAATTAAGATTACAGCTTTCTATTTGCAAATCTTGGCGGACCTTCTGGATGTCGCCGAACGTGATCTCAGATTTTTCCTTGGGCATGGCCCCTAATGCTCTTCGAATGACATGACTCTTGTCTGTTCCATGCAGCTTCTGGTTCGCAGGATTGCGTTGCTGGACTAAAGACCCCCTGTCCATGGGTCCATGACCTGACCAACGAAGACGTGTTGCATCTTGCGCTCGCGCAAAGAAGAAGGCAAAGAGCGGCGATTTCATGCTCTTTCCCCGCTCCTCGGCGAACAGTCTCAAGCTGACCACAAGGCAGCTGTATGGCTCCTAACACTGGACTGAAGTCTTCCCAAACATGCTGGTGCTCATCCCAGCTTCAAGCCTCTCCATAATGCTAAACTCCTGCGATTGTGCCTCAGCTGTTTCAGGAAGCAAGGCTCATCAGGCCCGATACATCATGGGTAGCCATCTAGAGTGCCTCTTTCATGATATGGATTTCTGATTGCTCCGAGTGTGCTGAAAAAGCTTTCGGCAATCTATCCCGCATCATACATTCCGGTCACGTCACGTAATACACTTGATTTTCAACTAACAATTCTGGTCGCGGAAGCATTAACCCTCTCTCAACCGGAAACCTCGAGCTGCATGCACGCCACCAAGGTGTCCAATCCCAGGCCGAGGATTCCGTCAAACGAAACCCACTCAAAGGGGTCATTGCTCTCCTGCTTGGCATGGAGCGAGGTATGAAATTCCCGCCCATCCTTTCAGGAACCCAACATGTATGGGCTGCATGACTGCACAAAGATGTTAAAGCAGACGGTACAGTACAGAGGTGGGCCCTTAAATGCCATTAATGTTAGTACCACTAGTGGAAGAAAGCTTGCAGGTCATCAGGGTTGCCTGGAACATGAAACTATTCTCATCCTAGTAGTTAACATCTACTGCACACTTAGGGCTGGCGGGAGCTGGAGCTTTTTCGGCTGATTGGCAACATTGCCAGCTGCAGAGGCCTAAAACCCTTGGTCTCAATTACACTCTAAAGCAGGGGATGTATTACGTCATCCTCATGTCTTGGGTTACTGACATCCAAACCCAACTTCATGTGCAATGGCGGCTGCAGCAGCAGTATCCTAATAAAATCTGTCAGGTTCATTACGGTTCATTACCAGGGCCAGCAGGAGCTTATCGGCCTCAAAGGCCGTGATGAACTTGGCTGGTGCGCACATGTTGTCTCCGAGGCAAACGCGGTCTTTGAAGCCTTGTCGGTAAGCTTTGAGGCCTTCACATGCCTCTGGGGTTTAGCATGCCGCTTGACCAGGAATCTATATAGCACTCTCTGTCTCTGTCCACCCTTTGCTGCTCAGTCAGATTTTGATGCTTACGACAAGTTACTTCTGGTTGACCGATACAGACATACATCTCCGCCTGCTGTTTGCATATGATATGCCAGGAAATGCGGCCAGAGTATACAGTGGGATGGAGTAACAGACACTTCAACCAGACATCGCAGCGGAGCGTTTCTTGTCTGCAAGGCTTTCCAGCGCAAAATGCCTGCCATGGGACAGTGCCCTCGGACCTCACCCGTACCAAAGGTGACCACAAGGTCGTTGGGAACCTGGTTTGGCTGGACCTGTCGCCACGGACTTTTGTCCAACAGGCAAAGCTCCCAAGCACAAAGCTTCACAGCACAAGCATCGCAACCTCGCCCCCATCGCAGTGGTGTGGGCGACTTGTCTTGCTCTGAGCATCGTCAAACCTCCACGACGTAAACCGAAGAGTTTGGGACTAGACAGTCGCAGTCTTGCATAGGAATAGCTCTGCTTACTTTTTTCCGTGTTTCAATGAAGCAGCACATGAGCAAACCCTGCATGGCACCTCCGGTGCTCTGTGCAGGCGGTTCCGCTGCAGTTGACGCCGGGGACGATCAGATTCCCACTGCCTGTGTCGAAGATCACCTCAAACTCCTGCAGGCATTTGTTGGACCTTGTCCTACAGTTCTGCTTTGGCATGTTTGTTGGTAAAGTCTGACTTGGAATGTGAGCTATTCTCCGCACCGCGCTGAGAAGTTGCTTTGTGCTGGATTCTGGTTCTTGGGTGCGAGCCGACGGACTCCTAGACAGCCGGACATCCCCGAGATATGATTACAGACTGCGCGGTGGCTCTTTTTTCCCCGTCCCAATGTAGGCACATTCCTCTATGAAAACCTTGTTGAGCTCCTGCGGCGGATTTCCAACGGTCACCTGTCAAGCAAATGAATGCGCTGGAACGTTGGCTCGCTGAAATCTAGTGCAGACTTCGATCCATCATCACATCAAACTAATGGCACCTTGCCAGTGTACGCCATATCTGTCTGCGTCAGGTCGGTTGCTGTAGAGCGCCTTCGGAAATCAAGTCTGGCATGTCTGCACGGATGAGGTGATGGACGTGTGGCTGCGCGTGAAAGGAACTCTCAAGAATGGTGCCATAAACTTGGGAAGATATCACTCATCTGCTCAAGCTGGCATATGAGCGGCACAGGAGCCTTTTGAGGCCTCCACGGCGCATCGTCAGCTCAATGGCAACCTTGGCATCGTGGACACAGCAATAGCAGACATGATGCCAATCCTCGCTCCCGTCTACCCATGATGACCCCAACTCCAGGCAATAATGGCTGCAACCCACCACTAATCACAAATCCCAGCACAATTGCTGGCAGAGATCTGAACTGCGGGTGTCCGTGTCTGTCACAATCCTCAGCACGTCAGGACTTTTGGTTTCAGAAGCTCTGCTTAGCAGCCTCAACCAGATGCAACCATGGTGCGCCAGCAGCAGACATGGGAGGCCGGCGAGGAGGAGGACCCGCATTGGAAACTGGTTCCTTGCTGACAGAACATGTTGGACTCACTCGAACATGCACATTCGTATGGTTTATGCAAGCTTGCCAAATGCGCAGGCGTGGGATTCCGAAGCTGCCTCAAGGCAGCTTGGTAATTTTGGTGTCGGTGCCTCTGAAAACGTGGAATGACGGAATAACGAGTGTGGTCTTGCTTTGAATGTCAGGCCTCAGCTTCCAGCCTGGCTTGTCTGTCCTGGCTCCCTTCAACTGCTACATGCCTCTGCATCGCCAGGGCACGATACCGGAAGCGTGTTGGGGTAGTAGAATGGCGGAGACCGAAGGTCTCACAAGTAGAGCGTGGCTTGAGCCAAGTTTGCAGCACAGGCCTCAACGTCACTCAGACTTGACTTCCATTGCAGCCATCCAACTGGATTTTCGCTGCACCGCCAGCAAAAAGGAAAAGCTGCCAACGCACAGCGTAATGACTCCCTGCCGAGGCAGCCGCCACGCTATGATGTCGCGCGTCCTCTGCGTGGCCGCCGCTGAAACCAGAGACAGGAGAGCCTTCGGCGCACCGCCGCTACTAAGCCCCAACATTCACAGTCACACGCTCGCCATGCCGTACTCCAAGGTAAAAGGTTCCAGCTGCTTGTCTGCCTAATCAAACCATGCTGATCACGCAAACGCTCCGAGTCTCTGAGGGCATCTCCAGAGGTGTAGTCGCGGAACTGGTGTTGAGGGAGGACGCGTTTCGTCCCCTTAGAAGTCAAGCCTTGCTATTACAGGCTACCTAAGCAGCGAAAATCTATCAGTTCTTTGCAGGGGTGTGAAGGTACGTTTGGAAGGTGAGGAAACCAACAAGACTTCGGGCTGCCGTCGTTTGGAAGATGTCGCTGTTGGTTTTCTGATGAACTTTGGGTTTGAGGTCGTGCCCTGCCCTTGCAGAACGGGCCATCTGGCATGCAGTCGATATCCGTGGAAATACTTAATTCTCATTGGCTGATGAAATGAGGGTCCCGCGAGAAATCACTGAGAGGGGCTTCAAACTTTCGACAGTATGGCACTCAGGGCTCGTTTGGGACGAAATACAGCACTCATTAGCAAGACTCCGGCTCCATAGCGCCCATCATGGATGATTGTTGTGTTACTTTTGATCTTCTAAGTTTTGTGTTGATCGAAAGTCGTTCCAAGCTAATTACAGGTGATCGGCCACTGTCCAGTTGAGCGTGACGCAACCCTGCCCTTGCAAGTTCAAGTTGACAGCTTTGATTCTGTGAGAAAAGGAGTTTGGACTCTGTTCCACGCACAGTTGTCCCTGCAGGCAACAATAACAAGATGAGGCCAAGTGCTGCAGTGACTGAGTCCCCCACACCCAGCTTGAGGCCTCCAAGGCCTGGCAATTCTAAAGAGTGCAGGTGGCGCTGATTATCAATTACGGTAGTGGTGGTCAGATAACTCATTAGCTAGTGATGGTTTTACAAACTGACAATGAAGAAGTTCCGAAGTCAGCAAAGTCAGCAGGCCACTGCAGTCGTGAACGCCGTCGTCCATAGGTGGTTGACTGTCCACCTACGAAAAGCGCTGTGATCTTCAACCTCCAGGCTGCCAACCCAATACCTTCCATTTCTGTCAGACAGTGGAGTCCAGCTCCAGACAGAGCGTTTGAAGGATGCACCTGTCCCTCAAGCTGACCAAGCATGCTCCTCCAATCGACGCTGGCTCCTGTGCCCTTACGCAGCTCCGGGCCAAACTTGTCAAGTTGTCAACGACAACGCGAACACTTCCCAACACTGTGGAGCCGAGACGGTGTTGTCCCTTCCTGTTTTTCTTCGGCGTGAAGGGCAATAGTAGCGATTTCGAACGCTTGACATCAACGGAACATCTGTTCATGTGTTTGGGAGAGGGCGGTTGATGCAGAGGATGGGCGCAGGCGAACGCCACCTGCATGCGGCATAAGTCATTGCTAAAACTTTGTGTAGTAGCCTCTATGATCGCTGCCATCACTCTCTCCATACTTAACACACCGGTTTGGCCTTGTGGGCATGTCATCAACACAGGAAGGATTTGGACGTGGTCCCACTGGTGGTTGTCATGCTTTGTCATCTCGTGCAGGCACCGGCAAAGCATCCCTGCATGGCTACCTCCAGCTTTCCCTGCAGACCGACACTGTAACATGCATCAACAACAAAAAGCCGTCCAGGGATCGATTAACCCTGAATCAACATCCATGAGTACATGAGCCCACCCCTGACGGCCTGATACGAGCATTGGAACACTACCGTCATGCTTCCAAATCTCTTTGCCACATGGGCTGACAGGCGGACCTTGAACAAAGATACTCTTGGAGCGTGCGGGTCAGGATGAGACAGCTCTTGATCTCGCTGCCTGGGCTGCAAGAAGCTTTGCATGTGGATTGCCCGAACAAAGCGTACAGCGAGTTCGATTGTCAGTCAAGCAGACAGCCAGACACAAAGTAGTCAACCTCACACAGCTGAGATATGCCAGGGCCCCAGACAGTGTCAGCGATTTCTGGAGCAGCGAGAACCTCTGGAGAGAAGGATGTTGGAGTTTACTAGGCTTGACAGATCCAGATTAAGAAGCCTTTGGAGATTTGGCCCTCTGTACAGCTCTTCCAACACTAACACCCCCCTCCAGCACTCCAGGTAGCCGGCTCTAAAGCGGCATCAGCATCTGCCAAGTCTGGGACCTTCTGGTGAAGTCGAGCCAGGCTTCGCTCATAATACAGCACTCGCAAGTTCATCAGCAAACGCAGGAGGACCTCCATATCAGGGCCCATGGCAGTGCCATCACAGCCGCCAATATGTTCCTGTGTACCACGTGGCTGTGCCGTGAGTCCAAAAGTTGTGTTCTCAAGGATCATCAAGCAAAACTGAAGCAGCACAAGTCAAGCCCTTGCCAGCACTGGGGAAGCGACCGCTGTCGACAAAATGTAAAATAAGGATACCTGGGTCATGGCAAAAGCTTGCTTTTGCATGGGATAGCTTGGGCTGACCGTCTCAAGACAACCGCAAGCCAGGAAAAAAAAGCGCGTGATTGTCAAGGCAGAAAGTATGATGCTTCTAAGTATGGCCTCCAAACCCGAGGTTCATCAAACTCGCGTCTCAACCCACTCCCCGCCTGATCCGCCTGATGAATTTCAAGCTCACTATCCCTGAAACTGGGATCAAAAACAGACCTGCAACCCAGCGCATAAATGCAAACCTCCGTTCCGAATTGCGGCCCCCACGCCGAGGATCCATCGGCTCATCTTCCGTCCTTGGCAGAAGTTGAGCAGTTCTGAGCCGTTCAGGAAGGCAACCGGAACCATCTGTCCCTCAGACCCACCAGCGAGCGAGCGAGTCGAAGGAGTAAAAGCATTGCATAACATAGCATCACCGTCTATGATATGTGCGTTTGCAAACACAGCAACCATCGGCCATGAAAGCCTAAACCAGGCTCCGTGCAATGAAGTGGGGCTTCTGTATCGGAAGAGCTTAGTCACCATCTGCCAGACCTACAAGCAGCGCTTGGGTGACGTGAAGCCGTTTGAAATGCACTTTCCCAGATGTCCGGTGATAAGACAAAGCTCACAATAAAACATGACTGTCAGCTCAGTCATACTCCCGGGTCTGCGGCAGTTTGCCGGCCATGGTGAGCTGAGGGCGTGAGCCATAAGCCACCGGACAGGCGACCCAGTCAGGCAAGGTGGGTAAGTGGCTTAGAAGCTTTGGCCTTGGAGAGCACTCCTCTGCCTTTGTCACTCTTCATCTCGAAGTCATTTCTGGTCACTACGCAGGCCGCATTTCAGCCGAACGCCGCGCCAGTTTCAAGGGAAGGGTGCCCATGCGCTGCTTCTCCAGAGCTTGCACCACATCTGAGTCTTGAAATTCCACGAGGCTTTAAGCACACGAGGAATGGACGAAGGCCTGAAGATGCAGCAGCAAACAGCCGCTGGGCATGTCACGGCCCTTTTAACTCCTTTCGCTGGAACATACTGGAACCTAACCCCGCATGGAATCAAAGGGATGGACCGCGGGTCATGCTTAAATCGCTTGCGGAGCTGCTCCTACTGCTTGGAACTAGGTGCTGACCTGTGCCGAAGCGGACGTTGAATACCGGATCACATTACAAATATGTCATTACAAGAGTAGCACCAACAACAGACTTGCGAAATCCTTCCTGCAAATGGAAGAGTACGTCTACCTCCACCACCTTAGCACGCTGTGGAACCTATGTTGGACCGATAGACTAATAGAACTATCTCACTCAAAAAACTCTGCTCTACACCCAGGCTGCTGAAAATCAGAAAGGTAATACTGCCAAAAGTAAAGCCACAGAGGCTTTTGCTGCTGCAGTCAGGGCCATCGTACGTTTGCAGTGTGTGTCCGTCTTTACTTAGAGCACCAAGGCATCTGTTGGAGCCCTTGTGTACATCCTGGTGCGCCTCCGACACGGAGGTGCAATACCTCTGCATAAGCAATCCTGCTGCTACATAACTAGAGAAGAAAATAGAGGCAAGGTCGCTGCAAAGTTGCCGTAGGATCGCTGACTGCAGGTGATGATGCGGGCTAATGCCCTGTGGAATCCCACAGCTATTAACACATGGAAGTGTCTCCAACTTGAATGCTACGCTTGAAGGCATCTCACGTTATCGAGGCTTTGCAACCTCCCGGCTTGGCCGCGGAGGTTGCGAAGCTGCAGTCTTTCCACTTCCGAACTGGAGTTGGGGTTATTTCACATGTTTTCTACAGGGCCGCTCACGGAGGCGATGGCTTCACGCAATACTGCAGCAGTTTCACCTTGCAAATGCTTGCAATTACTCGAATTGCACCCTGGCTTCAATTCGTCTGCGCTACTAGCATGCCCCCTGTTGAAGCTTCTCATCTCGATGACCACTGTCAGCCTGGCGCTAGCCCACCTGAAAAATCCTGTTAAATTCGAGGCTGTTTCTTACCGGAGGTGGCTCCTGGAAGTTTTTGTTAGAAGCCTGCATATCTGGGCCACTGGCGGTGGCCATACTTCTCAGCGCACCTGGGCCAGAATCAGTAGTCTCCACTCCAATGCAGAACTGATACGCCCAAGACTTACTGAGAGGAGTTTCTGCGATCAGTTCTGGTTTTCTTCTTCACTAAACCCACAGCATCTATAGACCTATAGACTGTGCAACCTGTGCCCGGTACGTGCCTTTGTTTAAACCCTTCTTTAGGTCCATCCAGGCCGACGAGGACCTTCATCAAATGAAAGCTGCGGTTCGTGGTGAGAGCTCGTCTAAAAGACACTTCAAGCAAAACCTCTAGGACTCTAGGAAGTGGGATGTCCCAGTCGCACCCAAAACCCATCAAGAAGGCTGGCCGGCTGGCCCATGACTTGGCCCCGAGCTGGCGAGCGGTGCGGCCCGCAGGGGTTTTGATCTGGGAAGGCTCCGTGCAACAATTGCTCGGCCATGCGAAGCACGTGCTGTCGAAGTTCATCCCACGCCTGGAGGAGCTGCGGGCGCACCAGGAGTTTTACAATGCTCGCGTGACCATTCCTTGGTGACAGCAAAAAGCAAGGATGGCTAAGGAAGGCTGATGACAGATCTTTCGACAAACACCCTAATCGCAGACGACAGTTCTGCAAGTGCAGTCCAGGCTGAGCCCTCTGCCGCACTGCCAGCAGGAAGCTACACCAGCCGCCTCAGGACCCGTGTCACTGGATTGCCATGCACTTGCAAGAACGTTTTCAAGCTGGCTCGAACCACCCGGTACAAACAACACCAGTTCCACCTGCAAATTCTCACATGTCATGAAACGTCCACTCCATACGGTTAAGGAGGCCACCAACGACTTTTATAACTAGTTGAGGACACAGGACGAGGAGAATCCTAGAACCACCTAAGCCCCTTCCAAGTGCACCAACAATTGGGCACCGACATGGGAGGGCCATGAATGATGTAAGTGTGAAATTGTTTCTGAGAGTAAACGGCCGAAAGCTAGCTTCTTTGGACAGACCCTCCCTGGCTTCACTCCGCACACATTTTGAGACCTCCGCGACAAGCGTGAGATCTGAGTAAAGCACATGCTCCACGCAAACATGATGGGCCTCCAAATACATATTTGTGGTGTTTTCTGTCCTGCCTACATAACTATCATAACAACCCCAAATTAGATTCAAGTTCAGCATCATGAGCCTACGACGCTGGCTGCGTTGCCACCTCTACAAGGAGATGTGTTCCCGTGTGATGCAGAAGGTATCCTGGCATGGCTCGACAAAATCCAGGCCCCATGGCCATTGCTAGTAGGACTCACCGGCATGAGAGAAAGATTGGCAACTCTCATGAGCGTCGACACCTTCCGCATCAGCTCAGTGAAACGTGTCTACACTTCACCTGCGAAGGCCCTCAACAAGCTTCGGAACTGAGATGGCGCTACGAATTGCGGTCGGCACCCGAAAAAGATTTCTTAAAAAAGGTTCTTGCAGAAACGCTTGAGCCTCACATGTACATCATGCCGGACTCGCGGCCCTTGTTCTTCACAATCTGCTCGGTCATCATGGACTTCCAGCCATCCTTGTAGGTCTCGGCTACCTGCTCTTTCAGGTGGACGATGGCCTTGGCGGGGTCCAAGCCCTTGGGGCAGCAGTTGGTGCAGTTCATGATGCCATGGCATCGGTAAAGCTTCATGGTGTCATTGACCCAAGCTAAACGCTCCTCGGTGAACTGATCACGAGAGTCCGCAATCCAGCGGTACGCCTGCATCAGCACAGCTGGACCCAGGTAATACTCAGGGTTCCACCAATACGACGGGCATGATGTCATACAGCATGCACAAAGAATGCATTCGTACATTCCATCCAGTTTTGCTCGATCCTCCCGACTTTGGAAGTACTCCTTGTCTCCCTTCGCCTTCACATCCTTGCGCTTCAGCCACGGCTCGATAGATTTGTACTGGTTGTAGAAATTTGTGAGGTCTGGCACCAGGTCCTTCACCACATATGTGTGGGGCAAGGGCTGGATCTCGATGGCCTGTGCGCTGGGCTCGATGTACAGGAGGCATGCCAGACCGTTCTTGCCGTTGATGTTCATGGCACAGGATCCGCAAATACCCTCCCGGCAGGATCTGCGGAAGGTCAGAGTTGCGTCGACCTCATCTTTGATCTTGACCAGCGCATCCAAGATCATGGGCCCGCAGGCTTTGAGGTCAATCGTGTAGTCCTGCAGGAACGGCTTGGCCTGCTTGTCTGGGTCATAGCGATAGATTGCAAAGGTCTGCGGCTGCGCCGTGGCAAAGCCTCGCAAGCCGCGGCCAAAGCTGCGGGGTGCAAAGGACCGCAGGGATGCAGCCAAGGACATCATTGGTGCACTGAGACCCGGAAACAAGGACGTACTACAAAGCTACCGGCTTGCAGCTAGGGTGTAACGGCAGCGCGTGCGTCTCTGCGCGCTCTCTACCGGTCAGCATGCTGCAAAAGAACTTGCTTCGATGATGCCCGCATTTGCATCTCCGCGACGGCTTTAGGCGACAGCGCGCCACGTATGCACAGTCAGGCACGGAATAGCTACTAATTCGCCGGTAGTTAGTCTCGTCTTGCCATGCATGAGCAGCTTCCAAACTTTGCATGAAACTCAAAGCCTTGCACATCACTCACCGTCCAAGGCTGAGGCTCCCAAGTCTTCGGAAAACATCCGCCCCGTGCGCCAACAGAACATGGACCTGTAAAGCACCGTGAGACTCAAAGTAGGTCGTCGACGGGATCAGCTACTCGTGTTGCGACGAAATTCCCTGAGTCCTGTCGAAAGCTAATTTCTGTTCGCATGTGTCACAGCCATGGCGAAAACGCCAACTGAGCCCACAGCCACAGCCTCTCTCCCAACCCGGGCTGCAACCATCAGCGGAGTTACGCCACCCTCCATGGCCTCAGCCAGGCTGCTTGTTCTGACCGCTCATGTTCTTGGCTCGAGTGGCATGATGGCAGGGCAAGACCAAGACATCAATCAAAACCACGAGCAGATAACAACTCACATCGGTGAAGTGCTTCACAAAATCATGGTGCTTGCTCAAGTCCTGTGGCACAGGCAGCATCTACGGTGGCTCCATGCTCCAGAAGCGCCTTAGAAGGACCAGCAAAGACTTCCTCTGTTCAGAATTGAAACCATGCCAGACAGGATTTCGCTGGGCAAAAGCTGCGCATGCTGCGCCTCTGCAACTGCAGCCACTGCAGAGGGCTCAGGCAAGGGGGTCGTGGTGGCTCCTCACCAGGAGAGTGGTTCTCAAAGCTTCTTCCCGCTCAAAGCTGACGCTCTCATAAGCAGGCGCCTTCCGCCTGCCCGGCACCGCTAGCTAGGTGCAAGGCAGTGATGCCATGCTCGGCAACGGCCTGAGGGAGGCTTGACCGGATCAAGACAAGCAGTCTCTGCACTCCAAAACTCTAAGTGCACAGCATCGACTGGAACGGCTCTTTTTTGCAGGAGCAAGCACACGATACCAACGGATCCCACCTGACAAGTGCGAAGGGAAATAAGCTGGGTTTAGGTTCAATTGACCTTCCTCAAGACATCCTTTTCAGAAAGACTGACTACTTACAAGACCCACAGCGTTGCGCGTAGGATTAGTGTGCCCCATGTCAAGCAAGAGCGCACTTCTGAAAATCAAACAAGACAGTACTGCTACATCACAAACGCATAGTCCAAGCTCAGCTGCTGAGAAATAGTGGGTTTGGCTTTTCCAAGTTTCCACTTCAAGCTTCTACTTTTGGGCTGCGTCCCGCTTGCAAAGCATGAATGCAACTGCACTGGACGGCCAGCCTCTGCAGCAACATGAAGTGGAGACAGCAGCACCTTCCCACGGACATCCGAAGCCTGCAAGTTGCCAACCGACGTCACTGAAAAATACTGAAAGCAATCCGAAACGCCCAGGTTTGCGGAGGCCTCCATGGCATCCAGCGCTGCCGGAGCTGCCGGTGCTGCCGGTGACCTTGCAAAACTACGGACTCGCGGCCGTATGGCCGTAGACTCAGCCTACGAAGGGGTTAGCGTGCTCGGTGCCGGCGACTCGTGACGGATAATCTCATGCAGGGTCCCCAGTGCCAACATGTAAACCCACGGCATGACTGCGAGTTTCCGTTTGCTTCATGTGCTCCGATCCCCTCCGCGAGGATGCGAATGCCCCCTCAAACTAGCTCGGGTCACAATTTCAAATGCCCCTGTCATCATGCCATATCACGGAGCTACGAGAGTTCTGGCCAGGAACATGTGGGAAGCAACCCATCGCTTCATATGGGACTCATGGACTCATGCAGGCAGTGTTAGAACCGCCCTCCCATCATACGATCTCCTGTACGCAATAGGAAAGTTGCCAGACACAATTCTGTCAAAAACCCTCAATCCCCAAATGCAGGCAATAAACCATGCTCCAGTAGGATATGACTTCTTGTAACCAACGGGTGTGAGAGCGTCACAGGAACTTTTTCAAGCATGCGCATCGTGCAGAACCAAAAGTTATACAGAAAAGTGCGTCCCTAGAAAATATTTGCTGCTGTACGTCTTCAGGATGTCAAGCAATAAAGGTTTGATACAGACTAACAATTCAACCCTTCACTTCCGGAACTGTGGAGGTCGGGAGGCCAGACCTGACTTTGTCTAAGTGGATTTGTGTTTCAAGGTTGATGGCTCTCCCTTTTGAGCTAGGCTCCTTCGGGCATGCAGCATCCATTTTCATTCATGCTTACTTCACATTCTCAGCTGATGCCTGCCAGACCGTGAAACTCGAGCCCGGTAATGAGTTGCATGACCCAAAATACATACAAGATATGTCACATGCTGACCCAAACAAAATCCCAAAGCTTTCATCACTCTTCCTGCATGTGCCACAAAGCCCTCCCAAAGCCCACCCAGTCTCTTCGCCTACTCTGTAGGACCCGGCGACTCAGCCAGGAGTGCATCCACATTGGTTTCGTCACGGCTCTGCACCGCAAGGTGTAGCGGAGCCCAGCCCTGTCACAGCTTCCTAGTTGCCGTAAGGCCTGCGGGGTGAGATGGGGTGAGGGACTGTTGAAAGCAGCGTCTTCTTTGTCTGCAGTGCAAGGTAAAGCTGAAGGAAGCTGGAGTCTGACATGTACGGCCTTTATCGGCCTTTGACCCTTTGAATCTGAAAATGCTGGCCTCCTCTGTGGAGGCGTGGGCATCCGCACGAGCACGCAGCAGTTGTTGAATCATCTGGGATCAGGCACGAGTGAGAAGCTGGGTAATTATAAGACTGACAGATATCTTCCTGCACTCTGCAACGCCGCAGTCAGGACATCCTCAGCAGTTACGGGCCAGTGCCAAGCCAAGCATTGGCTGAAGGCACAACACCACAAATACCAATTTCGACCCGTTGTGGGGCATGGAATCTTCATGTGCGTTCTAGCCCCAGCTACCATCAAGAATAACAAAGTAATGTCCAAGGTCAGCACGGCTTTGTTGCCCGGAACGTGGCAGGCCAAGTGTAAGGCAGTCCACCCGCCCGGCCTAAGGTTGCATCAAGCTTCTGGTCAGCTGTACCAGGTATGGAACAAGCGAGAGTTGCTTGCCAGGGAATCTCAGGTGATGACGACTGATATGATTCATGGTTTTGGGTTGTTGGTGGCTGGCGTTGGTCCAATTAGGGGGCTCGGGTTCATCTAGGCTTGATTTAATCTAACAATTGACAACAAGTCTGAATAGTCAAGCTCAAGCAGATAGGCTCAGATTTTGCTGATGCGCAGAAGCTTCTATGCATGCTGACCTTTGTGGTAGCTCCTAATATCCTTGAATCATGACAAGAAGCGTACGGAGCCTTGCCTGCTCCACGCTATTTTCGTCTGGTGGGGTACTAGTGCCTAGGAGGATCGACATGCTTCTGGGCCTCATCGTGGCTTGATGCTGAAAAAAATCTTGCAAAATGGCAGTTTGGCTCATCATGCAGCTGGTTGTGCTATCACCTTTTTGGCTTTCGTCCTGGGCACACGGCAGCGTGGGTTTCAAGGATGCCCCAAAGAGCAACAGGACCTCAGCCACCTCCACCTGGCGTGTCTCGACGGCCACCTGCCATGCGAGGACCAGCCGCTAATCTGGTATAGAGCCAGGACATGCAAGTAAGTTTACAAGTCATATTATAATGCAAACACACATATGTATGTACATATCCATGTATGTGCACATGCTAGCCCCCGCGCATGATCTACGCTTTTGGGACGGCGGGGGGGGGGGGGGGGGGGGCAGCCTGACTCCCTTACAAAACTGGTAATCTGCCTCTGGTGTCTCAAGGAAATTCTCTAATCCCGCGGATTCCTGAGCTTGCCCACAAAGATTGCCAATTAAATCTAGTTCGCTGTATTAGCGGTGTTCTCACATGGGCTCCTGAGCTTCTACATATAAATCCTTTCTTACAATGGGTTGGATTTGTTAAAGGAATTCCTTAATCCTGGGCTCCTGATTCTCTCCA